CATATTTATCCAGTAGTAACCGGCTCTGATTACCTTTCGAACCAATGATTCGGCGCCTGAATGATTTCCGCAGGTGCCCTCGTGAACTTCCCTCAGAACGTACTCGGTATCTCCTGGCCCTAAACATATTGCTAGTGGGCCATCGAATGTTCTTCTGAACAAGGTTCCGTCTCCGGACAAGCTAAACCGGGCTGCCTTTGTACGCGGGGTCCTCGATTCTTTTGGATCCGATGTCAGTTTCCCAGTCTTCAAATATTCTACATATTTGTTTCTCCAATCCCAATTCAAGCTTGTAGAGTTTATTTCGGAATGACCTTCTTCCACTATCGATCTCATGAGTTGTACGACTTCCCCCGAGTTGCAAGGGCATCGGCCTCGCTATTTTGATTCCGAGGTACGTGTTGCAAGGTCCACTCCTTGAATCGGTGTAATGTTATCTGCAACTTATCTAGGTACCTTTGCATTCGTTCTTCTCTGACCTCGAATGTCCCATTAACTTGGTTCAGCACAAGGAGGGGGTCGCACTTAGCTTCGATCGCCTCCGCCCCCATGCTTTTGGCTAGTTCGAGACCTGCAATCATGGCCTTATATGCGTCCTCATTGTTAGTCAATTTCACAGCTCTAATAGATTGTCTAACTACATTACTTGTGGGTGGCTTCAATACGATGCCAAGTCCGGACCCTTTCCCGTTCGAAGCGCCATCCGTAAGGAGGGTCCAGATCCCCGAATACGTCCCCGAGTTTACCAACAACTCTTTATCAACCTCGGGTATTAGGGCCGGCGTCAAGTCGGCCACGAAATCTACCAAAATTTGAGACTTAATGGTTATCCGGGGTCGATACTCAATATCGTACTCGCTGATTTCCACGGCCCATTTAGCCAATCGTCCCGAGGGTTCGGGTTTATGCATTATATTTTGCAACGGATAAGTTGTCATAACACGTATGGGATGGCACTGGAAATATGGTTTCAATTTCCTAAAGGTGCTTAGCAAAGCGAGCCCCAAATTTTCTAGGTGAGGGTACCTAGTTTCGGCCTCACCTAGAGTCCTGCTAACATAGTAACTTGGAAATTGTGTAACTTGTTCTTCCCGGACCAGGACTCCACTTACCTCTATCTCTGATACTGCCAAGTACAGGTATAGTTGTCCGTTTGCCTTCGGTGTATGAAGCAGCGGTGGGCTCGATAGATACCGTTTGAGTTCCTCCAAGGCCCATTGGCACTCCGGCGTCCATGAAAAGTTATTCTTCTTCTTTAGTAGCGAGAAGAATACTCTTATCTGAGGGTCTTGAGATGAATCACCCCAGGGCGGCCATGCGTCTGGTTAATCTTTGCACGACCTTCACGTTGTCCACGACCGTGATATCTTCTATGGCTTTGATCTTGTCGGGGTTGACCGCGATTCCCTGATTAGATACCATGAACCTGAGGAATTTACCCGATCCGACTCCAAACGCATATTTCTCTGGGTTCATTCACATTGTACTTCTTCAATATGCTGAGGGTTTCCTGCAAATGCTTTAATTGGTCCTCTGCTCGTAGGGACTTAACCAACATATCGTCAATGTAAACTTCCCTTGATTTCCCTATTTGTTCTTCGAACATCCGATTTACTAGGCGTTGATAAGTGGCACCGGCATTTTTTAATCCGAATGGCATTACGTTATAGCAGTATGTGCCGTACTTAGTGATGAAAGAGGTTTTTCCTGATCATCTGGGTTCATCCGTGTTTGGTTGCACCCGGAATAGGCGTCGACAAAACTGAAGATCTCGTGGCCAGACGTGGCATCGACCATGCGATTGATGTTAGGCAAAGGGAAAGAGTCCTTGGGACACGCCTTATTCAAATCCTTATAGTCTATCCACATTCTTAATTTGTTCCCCTTTTTAGGGACTACTACTACGTTCGCTAACCAATCCAGGTATTTTACCTCCCAAATGGACCCTATGTTAAGGACTTTACATACCTCGTCCTTGATGTAAGAATGTTTGATTTCGGACTGGGGTCTCTTTTTCTACTTGACCGGGTGGAATTTCGAGTCCAGGCTCAGCTTGTGAGTGGTTATCTCCGGTGGGATCCCTAACATATCGAGGTGGGACCAAGCGAAACAATCCGTGTTAGCCATAAGAAATTGAATGAGTTTTTTCTGAGCTTGGGGGTTAACCTCGTGACCTGGTGTACCTTCCGATCGGGTAGACGTTCGATCAATATGACTTGTTCCAGCTCCTCGACCGTGGTGGCGTCGGAATCGTCGGGGACTATAAAAGATCTAGGAACCATGTAATCATCGTCTTTGTCAGTCCCCTCTTTATCCGATTTGGTCGCGGCCGGTGTCGATAATTTCTATTTAGCCTCTTGCTTTGTATCCAAACTCAGTTCCTTCGATGTTGCCAGTGTTGATACCAGGATCAGTTCTTCGACTGCAAACATTTCCTTTGCGGCCGGTTGCTCTCCGTAGATTGTTTTGATCCCTCCTGGCGTTGGGAACTTTAACACTTGATGAAGAATCAAGGGTACTGCCCTCATGTTGTAGATCCAAGGCCTCCTGAACAGGGCATTGTACCTCATGTCTCCTTGATCACATAAAACTTGGTTTCCTGTATGGTCCCGGCGGTATTCACCGGTAATGTTATCTCTCCCTTAGTGGTTTCGCATGCCATGTGGAATCCGTTTAGAACCCAGACTGCAGGCACAATTTGATCTTGCAGGCCGAGCTGTTCTACGACCCTTGATCGGATAATGCTGGCCGAGCTACCTGGATCAATTAACACACGCTTAACTCGAGATTCATATATGGGTATAGATATTACTAGTGCATCGTTATGGGGATGCATGGTCCCTTCCACGTCCTCGTCGTTGAAAGACAAAGTTCCTTCTGGCATGTAATCTTGAGTCCATTTTTCCCTTGTGATGGATACTTTGGTGCGTTTTAGTATTGGCCCTTGAGGAACATCGACCCCACCGATGATCATGTTAATGACGTGTTGAGGTTTTTCTTGCTCGGTTTGTTTATTAGAATCCCTATTTCTGAAATGGTTCTTGGCTCGGTTACTCAGAAATTCTCGAAGATGCCCGTTGTTGAATAGCCGGGCCATCTCCTCCCTCAATTATCGGCAATCCTTCGTTCTATGTCTGTGAGTGCCATGATATTTGCACATATGGTTAGGATCCCTTTGGGCAGGATCGGATTGTAGGAGACGAGGCCATTTGGTGTCTTTGATGGCTGCGATAGCTGATACAATGGCGGTAGCGTCGACGTTAAAGTTATATTCCGATAACCTTGGTGTTTCCTTAGGTTTGGTAGGTCTGTCGAAACTGTTCTTGCTCATAAGTCCTTGGTTGATCTAACCTCGATCACTTCTCCTTTCGCTTCGCATAGAATTCCGTCCGGATCCGTTGCTTCTTCGATCTCCGTTATAAGGCTGATACCGATCCCTGTTCAACCTCGGTTCACGATCGATATATCTCTTGACTCTATCGATGAGTCTAACAGGATAAACGGGCCCGGAAGGAGCCCCAATTGATCATCTTCGACTCTAATTATCGATTGATATCGGCTATACACATCAGCCCAAGTAACAGCCGGATACTCAATTAGATTTTGCTTTAACTGTTGTGAAGCCACTGAACTTCGAACATTGAGTCCTTCGGTGAAAGCTTGAACGGCCCAATCATCAGCGACCGGTGGTAGGTCCATCCGTTCCATTTGAAACTTGGACACGAACTCTCTGAGCATCTCATTATCCTTTTGCCTTACTTTGAAGAGATCCGACTTCCTGGTCACGACCTTGATAGCCCCAGCTGCTTTCACGAAAGAATCTGCAAACATAGCAAATGAGTCAATTGAATTAGGAGGTAAGTTGTGATACCATATCATAGCTCCCTTCGACGGGGTCTCTCCGAATTTCTTCATCAAGACAGACTCGATCTCATCTTCCTCCAAATCATTTCCTTTGATGGATCATGTATATGAACTGACATGCTTGTTTGGGTCAGTCATCCCGTTGTACTTAGGAATCTCGGGCATGCGGAATTTTTAGGGATCAGCTTTGGAGCCGCACTCGGAGGGAAAGGTTTTTGAACGAACTTCTTGGAATCCAAGTCTTTCAGTATCGGCGGCGCTCCCGGGATCTGGTCGGCCCTAAAATTATAGGTTTCCACCTTTTTGTCGTTTACTTCAATTTTCTTTTCCCCCGATTCTATCTGTTTCGTTAGCTCCTCGAGCATTTTTATGATCTCAGGGTTGGTACCCGACTCTTTCTCATTCGACCTCTCCGCAACCGGTTCTTCCCTGCGGGTGATTTCCCAGGACGGTGCACGGCTTTGGTTCTATAATTGAGCTACCGCCGCTTGTTGAGCCTGTAACATTTAGAATATCATTCGAAGATTGATTCCGTCTCCTCCATTATTTTGAGTATACTGCGCTGTCGACTGAGCTCCACCACGGATGCTATTCTCGGAGTCAGCAGGGAGGCTTGTGTCGATAGCCACATATGAGTTAGCGTCCAAGGGGTCCGCAACTGGAATTCCGACGGGACCAACGGGCGGCCCCTCGTTGCGAGGCGCTATGTTATTATTCTCACCGTGGTGACCGGACTCGTTATCATCAGGTAGAGGTGCTAATTGTGAGTTTGACATCGTGAGCTTAAACCTGAAATCAGAGACACTTCAAAGAACAAGTGTAAAACAGTGTGTGTTACGGAAATTTGTGTCAAATAACCACTATTATCTTTAGCCCCACGGTGGACGTCAAACTGTTTAACCTCAAAATCGGATAACAATTAAATTTGTAAGTGGTTTTAAGGATACATGGATTAATTTGACACAAAGCGATGAATTGAATTGTAATTAACGCGAACAATGATAAAGTAAATTCAAATCGGGCGACTTGAACAGTTATGGCCTTGAAAAAATGAGTCTCGCTTGAACTGAATGTAATTCAAACGATATCAGATATAGAAGAACAATAGCTTACAGAAAGAAAATAGTATTGTATTACTTTGGGATGCGTGTAACCATGTCCCTTACAAATAATCAGACCCCCTTTATATAGTAGAGGAGTCCCACTTTAGGTACAATTCTATAGAAGGTAAAAAAATCCCATGATTTGCCAATTAGCTGGTTTCTCATTAATAAGTGCCGAGATTCCCGCCGTGATACCCAACCGGTTACGGATATTTCGCCTTCCGTTATTCGATCCGACAATGTTTCCTCGAGCTCATTCGGAGTCAGGGTTGATTCCGGGGTCATGGACTCGATGTTCTCGAGATCGGGCATTCTGACCTCGTACCTCGGTTCGATGGGACCCGGGGTGGATCTTCAGCCCATCACGTTTCAATCCCGATCTGTCGTGCAATAGACGAGCCCGATCTCGACCATATATAGTTATAAAAACTTCTTATTGACTAATAAACAAAGTGTGCCACGAAACGTAAAGAGTACTACTTTTTACTGCTAGTATATTTCTGTCTACTACATAATTGTCACTAAATTTATATCGATTCACATCCAAGCTATAACTTAGTCTTAGACTGACAGGATTGGCTGGCTAGACTTGCCGTCCGGATATCCAAGGATAAATCGCATTTGGTTGAAACTTTCACTTTCACTTTGAACAGTACATTTAGTTTTACTTTACCCTTCAGATTCACGTAAATAGTTAACGGCAACATGCCCTTTTCAACCACGTCCGAATACAAATTGGGATCCGAAGATAGCCGATCCGCCATTATTATCAGCACAAAGTTCATATTTGTGGTGGTCCGGGACCCAATCTTCCCCGCCGGGACGTGAACATCTCCGAATTCTTCACCTCTATACTCGATATAAGGGTTGATGTCTTCGTATTGGACACTAACCCTGTTAGCAGAGACGGAGCTAGAATGTTAGAAGTGGATTCGATTGAATCTATCATTTTTGGAATATACCATATATGTGTGTATGTGAAAACTCTTACTAGTACTTTTTTGTTTTATAGAAGATGTTTGATTGGCCACAGAATTACAGAAGTTAAAGAAGAATTTTGACATATAAATCAAATATATGTTAATTACCAGAATTATTCTTTTAAATGAGTTGTTGCGGGAATTCTATTTGTCTTTTCATTTTTAGGTCTCTCCTTATAAAATTATAAGAACGAAATTTTACATCAAATGAGCCTCGACAAGGTCATGTGGTAAAATAAGGATACTATGAATTAGATAATTCCAAAAAGAGAAATGTATCGTTCTTTTTCTTCTAGGCCAAAAAGACAGGGAAATCTTACCGAAATGTCCCAAATAAGTTTTACAAATAGCACATGCACTTACCAACTTATAGCCCTTAATCATAAACTTACCAAAACTAGCCAAGCACATATAAAAATTGAAAACACAAATAAGTAAGGATTCTTTCTCTCCAAGAATCACAGGCAAAGATCTCCTTCCATATTTTTAAGCGTGATCGATCAGCAACATTAGATGCAAGACGGAAAGAAAATTTCATGAATGAGGTAGCAAACAAGGTAATGAAATACAAACAAAAAAAAATAAAAAAAAATACAAGATTCCAAAAGTCTAAGCAAAAAGGGACATTTTCTCAATGGGTATGGTTGAAATTCATTGACAATATATAGATGAGTCAATATACAAATTTGAGAAAGATTGGAGGTGATTTGTACTGATTGGTATCAAATTCGTAGTCAAAATCGAGTTCAAAAATTCTTCTGCGACATATATATCAAATATGTATCACGCATGTATCTCACACAGAGCTATATATGTAATATACGTTTGATACAAATATGATACAAAAATGACAACATATTGTAAAACACATATTATCTTTTCCATGTTCATCTTCTACCAAATCATTCCAAAATTGAGATTTAAACTTGTTAAGACGTATCCAATCTAATGCAACAACATCTACTCAAAAGAAAAAAATTTAACATCTTTTTAGCTACAAAAAGCTAATTGGCTAATATCGGTAATATTTTATTACTTAGCTAACTTTTGTACTAACTTACTTATCGGCTGACATAACTGGTAATTTCCCAAATAAAAGTATATGACATAAAATAGGACAAAAGAATAAACATAAATATTAAGTTTTTAACCCATATTCTTAAAAAAAATCATAATCTTGAATCCACTAAGTATAAATCTTAAATTCATCTTACCTGTTAGGATTGTAAATGGAGAGGTCACCGCTCATGGTAATGTTAAGGAAGACCTTGAACTTGGCCGCGTCGACAGACACGGCCAGGTCCTTGAGAGTCAAGGACTCGAGCGTGATGACAGGACGCTTGGGTCTAAAAACAGTGAAATTCAAGATGGTAATAGTTATAACCAGAATAATATGGACACATAGAACGAGCATACATATTTTCCTTCTTTTCTTGTGTTTACGTGCGTATTTACAATCTGCAACGCTATATCTACTCTCTGGAGTTGATTCCATTTCCATTTGTAAAATTCTACTACTACTGCTAATTTCTTCTCTCATTTTGAATGTGTATAGTAAGATGATCAAGCAGTATTACTATTTAATAAGGCTTTAGAATAGTAGCCCAAAGCCTACGTAATTAATTATTTAGGCCTAATTTCAACGCGCAAAACTTAATGGCTACTGGCTACACTAATTGTCTATGTGAATGTGGAGAACAACCTAAAAACAAGGTATATAACATTTTGCGACCTATTGGTGTAACTAAGTCCTTTTTGCTTGTGATGATATTAAACAACACTCAATTATCAATTCCAGGGGCGGAGGAAGAGTTTGGCTGTCGGGTTCATCTAAATCTACTACTTTCGATGCGGAGTATAAATTTATGTGTAAAAATTCATTAAAAATACAACAAATGGTAGGTCTAAAACCCATTACTTTAAAATACAGTGGGTTCAATGCTAAAACCTTAAAAGTTGAACGCATAGAATCTAAATCCTGGATCCGCCTCTGATCAATTATGTATAAACAAATTAAACAAAATGATAGAAGAACATATATTAGTTAATAAGGTGGGATCGAGGATGTTCGGTTGATTTTGATATATGTAAGGGAAAACCTACAATGCTAGCTATGGTGTGGTAGTAACTAGATATGAGGTGCTAATTTTGGTTAGTTGTAACTCTATGCCCTAGGTGATTAGGTAATTGGAATTGATATCTTTCCCATTCATTCTTTTTTCTTCTTTTTTTTGGTTCAAATATTTGTGTCCAAAATTCATTAGCCAGATTAATTCTGATTCGCATTGTATAAGTCTTAGCTCTCCCTACAAAAGAAAATTTCCCTCCCTCCCCCCCCCACCCCCCACTTGAACCTCATCTTCGATTATGGGTAGAAAAATCTTCTCCTTTCATTCTTGCTAGTTGCTTGACCAGTATAATAGCCTAATTAAGTAGTAATCTGGTAGTCTTTGTGCTACAGGTCCACCCTTCTCTCCTAGCCAAACTCTTGTAAATATTGGAGAGATAAATGATTTATTTAATTTTTATTTTTTGAAGTGTTAGGTTAAGAACCTGGCACTAGATATTCAATTCTTCATTTTTTAAACTTAATTTCCTGTAAAAGAATTTACATATACTTGGTTCTAGAATATGAAAGTTAAAATGTGAATTACTTTAATGTAAGTAAAGATGCAAGAAATTTGATACTTCAAATTTTCTGTTTAGGACTAGAACACTGGGAATACATCCCGAAGCGTCAAAACATAATAACACTACATTTTGAGGCTGGACAAATATAAGTTTGAACCCTACTACAAATATGAATTTGCATAGCTAAGAATGAAAGATGTCATAACATTTCATGCTTATTTATGCCACTAATGCTAAGAAGGGAGGTTCCTGTGATTTCTCATTTCTTATACCATATTGTAAGTTTGTGCAATAATCGATAACCCAAAAGGATAGTAAAACAATGCCTGTTTATAAGTAAAGCTAAACATTTAACAACCAATACACTTTCCAATGTTCAGTAGAGCATTGGTTTGGACCTTAAGATCAGCAAAAAGAAAACTTTTTTTTCCTCATAGCATTTGAACTACATGAAACTTGACCATAAAACAGGCCTTTAGAAGGACTTTAGAAAAGCTGGATCATTACAGTAAAATATGAAAGTCGACAAGATTACAATGCAGACTTCAAATCACCAAGAAGATGATATTCTTCAGGACTGAGAACGTCCTAAGAACTAAAATATGGATGTTGGAGCATATTGGAGCATTAGAAGCAACCTCAGAATTGAGACTTGTCCAAGCTATCAAAGTATGGATGATCAAGTGCAGCTTTTGCTGAAATCCTATCTGCCGGATCATATTGGAGCATTTTCTACCATGACCAAGCAAAAACAATAACATTATACATTTACTATTCTAACAAGAAACAGTAGAACGAAGAAATAACAAAAATTATATGACTGAAAACATGAGCTGATATAGTAGGAAAATGTATCCATAAGATGAGATGGAGATTTACCGTGAGGAGATCCACGCCATCAGGACCCAATGCCGGAACAGCAGAGGCCAAGTTCTGAGGTTCCCATTTTGGATAAACATGCCAGTCGCGGAGTGAACTCACTCCAGGCCACTGCTTCTCAGTTGGGGTTCCTAACAACCTTCACCAGTTTACATAAACATATGTTAAGATAATCAATTCATTAGCCATATTCAAATTTATCAAAAGATAACAGTTGGCTGCAATGCTTTATTCAGTTCATTTTACTTTTGGTTTTATTAACATTAGTACTAGAAACTTGATGCTGCCCTTCAAAATTTCAGATTTAAAACCTCTAAAAGTCCTCCATTTTAACCTATTGCTTCTATTTGTCATACCCCTTTACAAAAGCTGCTTTTATAGCCACATATTCTTCAGGTTAGGAATGAAAAATCTTTCTTGTATTACATGAGCCCAATTTTCATATCATCAGGTAAAACCCATCTATCTTAAAGGATATGTAACAATTCTATCCTTGACCCTGCAGGATATTTGAAAGCCAAACTATCAAGGTGGCACTTGGTATCAAAATATAATATTCTGAATATTTGTTAATACTTAATACCTCAAATCTTATGTGGAAAACACCCTTGAAAATTCCTTTTTGCCTCGACATTCAGCAGTAGCTTTGTCTGAGGTGTTTGCTACTAAAACTAAAGAGCAATTACACTAAGCCAGAAGCTACTGTTATAGCTGAATCCAACATAGACATTGTTGGTAACCCCCCCTCTCCCTACCGCACCACACAAAATGACAATAAAACATGAAAATGCAAAGACTTGGTGATAGATCATAGGCCTACCTGAATATGTGAAGCAATTGCTGAAACTCAGAGTCACCAGGAAATAAGGCCTGCCTTCGAACCATCTCGGCTACATCATGTAGAGAAAGCAAATTAAGACCTATGCATGGTAGAATGAGTGAATTTCACCAGAAATAAAGCTTGCCTTTGACCACTAGGCCAACCCCTTCAGCGATTAAAAGGATTTTTGTTCGTATGTCCATTTCTTCGCCAATGCTTAAACGGTTAAACCCATACACCCCAGGAAAAGAGATTATCTAGAATTAGTGTATGTCTGGCCTGAACCGCTTGGTCCAATTAGAATAAATTGTTAGTTTTAGAATTTACACAGAAGTGCTTTACAAGAATTTATTCTGCAAAATTATTTTGATGTTACAAAGAAAATATAGATGGTAAAAGTCTGAATAAGTTGTAAAAATAATCAGAGTTCTTTAGAAGTGCTTCTAGAGATGCTGTATCAAATGTTATCAAAGGCAAAAAGTGTATAAAAGCTTCTAAGGCCTGCTAGGGATTTAAGTGCAAACCGGAATTAAAGCATGAGCTTAAATCTCTAACTAGTCATGAATATAAACACAGCCAATAATTATATGAACAAAGTAATTGAAAAATCCTACAATAAATGAAACATATGAAGTAAGAATATGCAAATTAAGTCTAAAACCAACTTAAATTTTGAATTTTAGATGCAAAATGCAGTTTAAAGTTTCTAATTCAGGTTAAATGATAATATTTCTGAAGTCCTTTTCATAATATGTAAGAAATGTATTCATAACCCTTTTTGAACAATTAATCCATCTCTTTCCCAGTTATATTTATTGTTTAGTGTCATCCTCCTCAAGAAGAACCCAATGAGACACATGCCTTACCGCATCGACGCCTGCACTAAGTGTTGCCTAAGCAAGGCAAAAGCTCCACAACCTATGCTTCACCTAGCTTTAGGGCATAAGGGCGCCTCATAGGAGCCTTAAGGTGCATACCTACTTTAATATGTCCATCCTCGTGTTTTTCAACCACTCTATCAAATATACCAATTCTCTAAAAACAGCCTTTGAGATCAAAAAGTATCTTTTTAGAACTTAAGACATCTTGAGAGCAACCCAAAGCCCTTCCATATTTTATATAAACGTGATATTAAAAGAACATAAAGTGCCCAAAACCAACTTCTTGCGAAGTTCAAACCAAGCATTTAAAACTACCTTCCCGTGGAACTAATATGTTCTACTTAATATAAGAACAAACTTACACCTAACCAAAATGTCCATCGATAACTACAAATAGCATATTAAAATTATCATGTCAAAAACATATCGAACAAACAGTGCTACAAGAAACTAGTCAAAGAGAAGAAAAGGTTAAAATGGAGTATGACAAAGCATCAGAAAACATTTCTAACTTAAAAGAAGCAAAAAAATCTAAGCAGAGAATTGGTCTACAAGAGTACATAGCATGATCAACTCAAACAAACTCACCAAAAATACATCCCACAGACCACATATCAACCGCAGTTGAGTAATGAGTAGATCCCAACAAGACTTCAGGAGCTCTGTACCATAGAGTAACAATCTGAACAAAAAAAACAAACCCAAAATGAGCAATTCCACTAATCAAGTACTTAATTTTGACTTCCAGATTTCTCTTTCTTTCTATATCTTTCTGGTGATTTAGGTGGCAATGCCAGTATGAAGAAAGAGAAAACTGTTAACCTCATGGGTGTAGCTCTTTATTGGGACAGTGAAAGCCCTTCCAAGACCCAAATCAGCAATCTTAAGTATGCCCTTCTCTTTGTCCACTAATAGGTTCTGCGGCTTCAAATCTCTGATAATAAAAGGTTGATTAACAATAGGTAAACTGACCAAAATTTACAGTAAACTAACACCAGTAGTACGAGTTCTACTGTGCTCAATCCCAACGACTTGAAATTGGATCGTCATTTAAGCACATCTCAGACCAATATTATACAAAACAAAACAAAACAAAGGAACTAGAAGCTCCATATATTTTCTACGCATATAAGTCTAACACGACTACTCCTACAAAATATATGACCTAAAGTAAATCAATCATACTAAAATGACTAAAACATATATCTGACTTACACTAATCTATCCCATTGCAAAAAACATAAAGGACCGGTGACTAAAATAGACCTGTGGAGAACTCCATGGCTATGGCAGTGAGCGACCCCTTTGCACAATTGATATAAGAAACTCTGTTGGAAATGATAAAAAATGTCAATACCAATCAATAGAAATAAACATGTCCATTCCAATTTAAGTCATCAACTCAACCAAACATTTCCACACTAAGTACAAATACACATGTGAAAAAACGCTAAAATTTCAAAAATATGAGTAAGATTCTTAAACCATAATTTCAAAAGTGTATTTAGATTTAGTACTAAAAACCTAAAGATTAACTCACCAAATTTAAAATTTTAATATGAACCAAAGAAATAAACATTTTCAATACGGAGTACAGACATCTATCTGAAAAATTACTAACATTTCAAAACATACAAAGAGAAAAGGGGTTACGCTGACCTGGATGAGAGAAGGAGGGAGAGGTCTAGGATTGGGACCTTTACGATGAGAATCAACGAATTTCTTCAGATCAGTATCCAAATACTCAAAAACAAGGTAAAGAAGAGGCTTCCCATTTTTATCAATTTGCTCGACACAGAGGAGACGAACGATGTAGAGAGAATTGGAAAGCATTTGAAGAAGAGAGATTTCTCTTAGAGCAGTAGGTGGGATCCCTTCTTCGTCCATTTCTAGCCGAGTTTTCTTCAGCGCCACCAATTGACCCGTTGCTTTGTCCTTTGCTTTGTATACTTTGCCGTACGTTCCTTCTCCTACTTTCTCCAATTTCTCGTATTTCTCCATTGTTAAACGCTGATTGATTTCAACGAAGAGAGTGGTAGAGAAAACAGTGATGAATTTCAACAACTAGTATTTGGGGAGCGTAAAGTAAAGCATTTCCCCGTTGCAACGGCACTGCACCGACAGCAGGGTTTGCCTTTTCCCCCTCTTTATTTTGAATTTTGAATTTGCTACTTTACACATGCTACCGCCCTCCTATTTGTTTGACTATTTATTTGTTTATTAGTATTACTTGCATCGTATATCACCTATTCTGGTGCCACTAGCTAATTGAAACATTTACCTAAATTGACCATCACCTAATCGTTTAAACTAAAAATAGCTAACGAATATATAATATAATGTATAGCCCATATACAATATGTGTATAGTTTTGCATAATCAGTGTATAATTCACGTATTCTGGATAGAAAGATAAAAAGTAAATCTGGTCGGCTATTTATATAATCCCTAGTTAATTTTGGATAAAAATTCTTTTCGACAATATTCAGTTTTAGTTTTGTATCTTTGTATTTTTGCTTTGGTTTTCTAATTGGTGTGCTTCCTCCTGCCCTTCCTTTTATCTTTTCTAAGCCGAGGGTCTTTCGGAAACAGCCTCTCTACCTTCTTGAAGGTGGGGGTAAGGTATGCGTACATAATACCCTCTCCAGACCCTACTTGTGGGATTACACTGGGTTCGTTATTGTTGTTGTTGGATTAATAGGGGGAATTAAATAATAAGTTTAGAAAAGGCAATTTAGAGGCAATTACTCAAACGGTCACTCAACTATCTCAAATTATCTCTTAAAGCCACTTTTCTTTCGTTTGTAACAACAAAGTCACTGAATTATGGTTATTGCGCTCAGAAGGTCACTCAACTAGATTTTTCAAATTTTGGATTGCCAAATACCTATTTTACCCTCTAAATTATAAATATTTATCTTCTTTTATGTTCTTTAAACTTTTTAATATTATTTTTTTTTCTTTTTAATTTATATTATGAACTTACCTATAAAATAAATAAATATTATTCATAAATTAAAAAAATAAAAGTATTTAAGCATCTATAATGCTGGAATAACAAAATAATGAGCATAGTAAAAAAATTAATTAGAATAATTTTGTTCGTAATAATAATTTAAGTATTAACAACAAAAATTCAAAAATTTATTTCCACATAATTCAAACATTCAGAATGAAAGAAAATAAAGGTTTTAAATATATATTCCATGCATGTAATATAAAAATAATTATTTAAATAAAGGTATTTTTATAATATACATTATATATTCTTGAAAATTATGCTCAATGATATTATATATATTCCATGCACGACTTAACATAGCATATTTTACCCTATACAAATAGCCCCCATACTTTGCGGTGACATAACTTTGTGTCGTCGGAGAAACATAATAATATAATTGAGCATAATTTTCAAGAATATATAATGTATATTATAAAAATCCCTTTATCTAAATAATTATTTTTATATTACGTGCATGGAATATATATTTTACAACATTTATTTTCATTCATTCTGAATTGTGTAAATAAATTTTTGAATTTTTGTTGTTAATACTAAAATTATTATTATAACAAATTATTCTAATTAATTTTTTTAACTATGCTCAGTATTTTGTTATTCCAGCATTATATATGATTAAATACTTTTTATTTTTTAATTTATAAATAATATTTATTTTTTTCTATAGGTAACTTCATAATATAAATTAAGAAGAAAAAAATTATAATATTAAAAAGTTTAAAAAAAATAAAAAGAAGATAAATGTTTATAATATAGAGGGTAAAATAGGTATTTGGCAATTCAAAATTTGAAAAATCTAGTTGAGTGACCTTTTGAGTGCAATAGGCATAGTTCAGTGACTTTGTTGTTACAAACGAAAGAAATGTGACTTTAGGAGATAATTTGGGATAGTTGAGTGACCATTTGAGTAATGGACTCGAAAATTTATGCAAATGCGTTTCTTTTTGTCTCAGTGGTCAATAAAGTGAGAAAATTATGAGATTTTCAATTCAAATCTAAGCTACCAGTTATATATGGTGAAAGATAGCATGTACCTTCTAGAATTAGTCGAGATACGTATAAAATGGTCAGAACACCATTGTCATCACACACAAAAATGTTTACATCTAATTCATTTAATAAGTATCCAACTATAGTTAAATCAAATATTTTTTGAAAAAGCAAGTCGTACTTTGGTAAGAAAAAGACCATCTTTTACTTATTCCAGAATCGGACACTTTATTAAGAGTGTCTTTATTAGGAGCTTATTACATTCGCTCTAAATTGAATATTTTGCCACTAATAACTTCAACTTGAGAAATAAATTAGTACTTTGTATATTTGCAATGTTGTACTTGAATAAAGTAACAAATACAGTAATATTTGAATGCATGTAAAGAATAAACTGAAAACACAAAATTTCGTTACTAAATGCATTTGATAATATAAGGAAATGATTCTGGCAATTTTTTTTAGTAAATAACTTTATCCACGTCATTTTCTACATAGAGATTGGTTTAATCAGAATGTTGTATGTACTTGTGTAAACAGTTAGAGCGATCTATGGTACTGTCCTTTCGTTGTTTATTAACAACTTAAATAGTTTTAACATAATTAAATTAAATCCTGTATGATTGACTTGAATTATTATTGAAATTCAGGACTTCAAACAAGATTATAATTTATTTTACGAGAATCCTGAACTTTTCTTAACCAAAGGTAAAGACTTAACTTTGTACTGAAATTAAGACGTTTAAACAATTTTTAATTTATTTTTTGAGGAATGTCAATCATTTTATTACCAAAGTCGGAGGAGATGATCTCTTACGCCCGTTTACAATTTGAATGGAAGAAAATAACACTAGAAAGATATTGATTTCATATGTTATTTTTTACAGCTTGTTTGGATGGTTGTTATCTATTGTATTATATCGTATTATTATTTTAAATAAGATGTTTGTTTTGATTGTTACTTTAATTTTACTGTATCGTATCGTTAAACTCGTTGTTACATAAAGACAAAATGTGACACTTTATGTAACGGCCGATTTGGTGCGGTCGCATCGTTACCTTGTCTTTTTCTCTCATCTCGCCCTTCATTATTATTAGATAATTTTATTTTATCCTTTTACCCTACCTTTTTTTATATAATAATTCTAGCTCGTATCATAATTTTTCTTTATAATATTGCAAGTTTATTATTCATATTGATGGTGTAAGATATCAAGAAACGACGGCAAATGGACAATCTATCCAAATATTATATTCATCAGTGCAATTCAATATAATACATTATGAAACAATATATAACAACTTCAAACAAGTTGTTAGACGTTTGATCTTATGCCCTTTTACGATTTGTATGAAAGAAAATGACACTACAAAGATAAAACTTTTATGTGTTATTTTTTAGTTCTCTCTCTTGGAAAACGTCATATAACTAAAATAATATTTGTAACAAATCGCAAATCAAATCTCTGCGTTGCTTTTAAATTTTAATAACGGGGATTTCTAGTCGTTTTACTCAATAAACAAGAGAATTCTACGGTATTAATCATCTTCAACACACGTATGATCAAACCAAAACTTGGAACTGGGAAATTAATTCCAAATGTGGTTTCACACCAGCACTTCCACCTCTACTTCCATCTTAGAATAATATATATTATATGTATAGATAAAAGTATAAATCAAACTAGTAGAACTTACCCAAAACACACATTCAATTCTTCCATAAGGCAAACAAGGGGGAAAAAAGAAGGAAGAAGCTAAAACTGTGTCAGCAAATTGCTCTTCACCTCATACAGATTTGCCCATTAAAGAACCACAACAAACTTAAAAAGACTATACTTTCTCCTGCAATTTACATCAAGTACAGAACAGCAGTAAACCCGAGCTTTGCAGCATTGGAATATTCAATAATGGCACACTCATTATCTAACACGGCATGCTGCAGGGGCACCTGGGGAACAATTTGGGTTGGGAGACCGACAACCAGCTGCAGCACCAAGAGAGCCAGCATAACGGTGATGTGTTCTGTAATCTGGGACTCTGCCCATGGCAAATCGAACACCGCTTCCGGTTGATGAGGTTTCATTTGCACTGCCACCACTGGACTGCAGTGGCTCTAAAGTCTCAACCACGTCACTCATCAAGGGTCTTGCTTTGGGGTTTTGGCTAAGGCAATAGTATGCCAAACTGCAAGCCTTTTGTGCTGCCCTCACCGAGTATTGATTATCTAATCTAGGGTCTATGATCTGCAGCATTTTTCTTTTATCGTTAAGCTTTGGCCGAGCCCAATCGACTAGATTCTGTTCCTTGCTTGGTCTGGTTTTGTCAACAGACTTCCTTCCAGTCAATAGTTCTAGGAGTACTACACCAAAACTGTACACGTCGCTTCTTGCAGTAAGGTGTCCTGCGTCCACAAAATGTTAATACTTGTATCAGGTACGCCAATATCAAATAGATATGTCTACAACAATCCTCAATCTTGCCACCAAAATTTGGATTAAAAATATACATCAGACAAATTAGGTATTGGTAGAATACTGAAATTCGTACTTACATGTCAATAAAGTTGAACTTTAGGATCTAAGATAAGAGTCAGAATGGCTTTGACAACTAAACAACACTTGTCTTTTCCCTAGTTCTCCAAATGGAACCTATGATGTGTTAGTCATATGGAATCTTCGTCAAGGACTGACACCAATACAATTACAACATGCATATAGAGCACTGACTTAACTCCAGACTGTGATCTAGTTTGGTTTTAAACAACTACTGAAGTGCCACAGCGGTTCCAGTAGAATAGAAGGTCCTGCAGATATCATAACAAGTCTGATGTCTGACAGGTTTACCAGTTTCTAGAAATCACCTTTCTCAGCAAATGTTTTTAATTGAACCTACAAAGATGGTTCTACATCTGATCGTATCATAGCAGCCACAAAACATTAGTGCATACCAGTCATAACATATTCTGGAGCTGCATAACCATAGGTACCCATCACCCGAGTTGATACGTGGGTCTCATCACCTTGTGGCCCCGCTTTTGCAAGCCCAAAATCAGATAATTTGGCCGTATAATCCTGCAATTTCCACCAATCTCATGTTATTCCAATAAACACAAAAATAGAGGGAATCAAGAAAGGTAAAGCCAGAGAAAATCAAGTG